AGGTCGAGACCTGAGCAGGAAAAGCCAGCTGGAGCAGGATAGTCCATTACCCCCTTATCTCCAAATCAACCATCAAAATGCCAGAAGTAGAGCTGTGGCTCAAGTGCTAGCCTTCAGCACAGAAGCCCAGGGACAATGCCCAGGCCAAGAGTTTAAGCCCAGAGCAGGGGAAGGGGAAGTCCCACAGTTTCCCAGCTCCTCTCCAAACCAGCTGCAATCTACATGCAGACCCTCTGTTCAACTCTAAATACAAAGCAAGCATTAAAAGCATCACAGGGGGAGGGCCAGAGTGGGATTTCCTCCCAGCTGTGTCAGCTCACATGATGGGAAAGCCCCCCAGAGAGCTGAAAGCCATCAGGAGGGGCTGGTCATGGGGAAGAAAGCCTTCTCTTCTTTCAAACACAATACGATTCATCTCAGCCATCACCAGACTAAGCAGCAGTGGGCAAGAGGAGGTTTCACAATAGTTTCTAAGTCACATTAGTCATGCACAGACAGGCCCAGGAATTGTCTGAACTCAGACAGGGAAAATCCTGAGTGAAGGGATGGACAAGTATCTGGAGCAAGGCCAAGATGTAAGGCCATCCCCATGGGATGCCACAGTGGTATGTGACTTGCCACTAGTTAGGAGGGGCAGAACTTTAGAAGGGCTTGAGACTGTCTCTAGCTTCCCATTGTCCTATTTTCCTTTTCTTGTTTCCCAGGGGTTAGTCACTGAGTGTAGAGGCATTAGAGCACTTATAGGAAGCCAGGGTGCTGAGAAGAAAGACCCTAAAAGACCCACCCCATCAGTTTTGAATTCCAGGAACCCCATTCCCAGGACAGCATGAAAATCATTTGAAAGCTTCTGGGGGGGAGGGGTGCATGCACACATACATGTGTGTGCAAGTATGTGCACATGCACCCTTCAGTTCAGGGCCTAAAACTCAGGGCCTCGGCACTGTCCCTGAGCTACTTTTGCTTGAGGCTGGCGCTCTGCTACTTGAGCTACAATTTTCAGCTTATTTGGTAGTTAATTGGAGATGAGTATCACAGACTTTCCTGCTCAGACTGGCTTCAAACCCTGATCCTCAGAGCTCAGCCTTCTGAGTAGCTAGGATTACAGACATGAGCCACTGGTGCTCAGCTTGCAAAACTTCTTGTAGCTTGCAGACTTGTGTACGGCCCTCATGGTCTCTGAGCTCATCACAGAGTCAACGCCCAAGCCCCAGGCCCAAGGATGATCTCATTTGTAAGGGTTCACATCAAGTTTTAGAGAAATATGGTGAATTGAATTCCCCAAAGTAGTTCTGGACTAAGGACTCACCCTACTATATAATCCTATCCAAGTACCACTAATGATGGAGAGGATCACCAGTATGTTTTCCTTTTGCTTCTCCCTTTTCCTTTTTCTTTTCATTTCTTTCTTTCTTTCCTTTTTTTTTTTTGTCCACTATGGGGCTTGAACTCAGGGCCTGGATCCTGTCCCTGAGCTCTTTTTGCTCAAAGCTAGCACTCTACCACTTTGAGCTATAGCACCACTTCTGGGTTTTGAGGGGTTAATTGGAGATGAGAGTCACCACACAGGGACTTTTCTGCCTAGGCTGGCTTTGAACTGAAATCCTCAGATTTCAGCCTCCTGGGTAGCTAGGATTACAGGTGTGAGCCACCAGCACCTGGCTTTTGTTGTTGTTGTTCTGGAAGTATGAACTTAGAACCCAGCATTCTCTTGCTGAGCCATCCTGTTCACTCTGTTGTGTACTGGTTATTTTTGAGAAAAGGTCTTTCTTCCTGTCCAGGTACATGCCTGGGCTACACCTGATTATTTTAGGCTTCGTGTAGTAGCTGGAATGACTATCACATGCAGCGTCTGTTGAAATGGAATCTCATAGACTTTTCCTCTTGGGATTATCCCTGGAATCACAATTCTGTTCTCAGAGTCCAGAGTAGCTAGTATTACAGGCATGAACCTGACTTGTTCTAAATACTTTACTATAAACTCACTCAAATTTTAAGAAAGAATAAATGAGAGTATCATTTCTGTTTCAGAGACATGGAGATTCAGAGAAATTTGAGTTAATAGTCTGAGACCGCCCAGCTAAGAAATAGTAGAAAAGTCTTTGAACAGAGAGTTCTTAGTACTATTCTGCATCTTGGCAGTACAAGCAGCTTACCCAAGGTAACACATCTAGGAGGTATCGATTTGATTGGGATTCCTGACTAGGTGAAAATGCAGAATCTTCCTACCAAAGTGAGGCTAGAAGGACACTCTAGATCTTGTTTCCTCTAAGAGATAACCCTGTGAACCCTTCAGAAACAGAAAGTACAGTGCCAGATTCCTCCATGGAAACATCTCGCTGACTTGGGTTGACAAAGATAGATGCAGGAGATAGCTCCACTGGCATCCTTCATCAGCTTTTCTCTCTCTGCCTGCTGGTGGCTGGCAGAAGCAGATGTTCAACCTTTTCTCCCTTGGTCCTTATTGGAAGTGCTGAATGGGGATGATGGAGCTTGGAAGAACAGGAAGAGATCCTTGTTGATCTGTCTGCCCTCCTGGGGGAACAAGAGGAACTGAGTAGTGGGGGGTGAGAGAGAGGGGTGCTTAGGAGCAGTTCTGGAGTTGTAGGGAAGGGGTAGCCTAGCAACCACAGACTCTGTGCAGTCACAAAGCGACTGGCTTGCCCACAGTTTTTCTGAGCCTTCCCCTTGGCTCGTTCTTACTGTGCTGTCCTGCTCAGGAAGCTGGGACTTCTTCCCATATGCTGTAGTGGACATCTTCCTTGGTGAGTCCAGGGGCCTTCTGGGGGTGACAAATGGACACCGAAGCCAGACTCTTAGCGGGAAAGGACCCTGTGGGTCAGTGGTAGAAAAAAAGACCTATGGCTGGATTGGTAGCTGCCTACAGACCTCTTGTTCTTGGCTTCTGGGGACCAGGAACAGAGAGAGGGCAGAGAAGAAGCAGACTGCAATGGTCTCAACCTGCCTCACTCTATAAAAAGCATGTCCAAGCCTGGTACAGTGGCTCATAACTGTAATCCCAGCTCTTCAGAAGGTGGAGACTGGGAGTCCCATAGTTCAAGCCCCAGAAGGAAACTGTTAACATGATTGCTTCTCAACAAATAAACGAGATGTGGTGCTATGTCTGTTATCCCAGACACATGAAAGATGTTAATAGGAGAATTTTGATACAAGCCAGTCTGGTCAAAAAAAACATTAAGGCCCTATTTGAAATATAACTAAAGCAAAAGGGTTGGTAGCATGGATCAAATGACAAAGTGTCTATCTTACAAATGTGAAGACCTGAGTTCAAACCCTAGTTTCACTAAAAAAATAAAAACAGTTTCTTAGGTCCCTGCTATTATAGTTCATGACTCACAAGCAGCTTATTGAAGCAGATTAACAATCACATCTAATATTCACAAAATGGCAACAAAAATTAGCATGAATGCTAGGGGTATCACATGCAATGCAGGTGAATGCTGCTTTAGAAATTTGTTTCCATTGCACAACACGTGCCCAAGTACACATATGGAAACTGGGTCCTAATAGAACCATGAATTTCCTACAGACATTATAATCAGAGTCTGTCCTAAAGAGTGCTTTTTCCTGTAGGTAGGTGGATTCCAGGCTTCCAAATGCCCAGTCATCAAGAGAGTGGCATCTAAGAACTTGAGAGCCCAGCCCCTGCCATTGAGGATGCTCCCCTGAACTTTCCTGAAAAGGAATCTCAACTCATTGTTACAGAAAAGACCAGGAGTCTGTGAGTCAGTTGTCTGGGCTCTGGCCCCTTGATGTGTACTTGTCCCCAGCAAATCGCTCCCCTTCCTGATCACAGACAAGGCCAACCCATGGCACCTTAACCTGATGAAGATGCATTGAGGGTTTCTGGGGTCCCTTGGAGACTGGATGACTGAGAACATTCTTAGTTATTTTGTTGTTGTTTGGTTTTACATGTTTGTGTTTATGTGTGTATGTGCATACACACGTGTGTGTGTGTGTGTGTGTGTGTGTGTGTGTGTGTGTACTGGTCTTGAGCTTTGAATTTTGGACCTGGGTGCTGTCCCTGAGGTTTTTTAAAGCAAGGCTAAAAAAGCTAGTGCTTTTCAGGCTAGTGTTCTACCACTTGAGCCACAGCTCCACTTCTAACTTGCTTTCCTTCTTTTCTTTCTTCCTTTCTATCCTTCCTTCCTTCCTTTTTCTTTACTTTTGGTAGTTAATTGGAGATAGAGTGTCATGGACTTTTCTGTTTGGGCTGGCTTTGAACCTTAATCATCAGATCGCAACTTCCTGAGTAGCTAGACTACTGGCGTAAGCAACTGGCACATGGTGTGTTCTTGGTTTTGACACCTTCAGTCATTCATGGTTTAATTTAATTAGTTTATTTAAAAGTGTAATGAACCCTAGTAAGTACACTACCCACACCAAGAGCTAGAATAGCCTCTCCCATACCTTCTATGTGCTCTTCTGCTCCCCCTCTATCCAGAAATATCCACCTTCTCTTGGAATTTTTCATGTCCTTGCTTTTTGTCACCGTGGTTGTTTTTGATCCTATGTTTGTATTGGTTTGCTTGCCTTGGAACTTTTTAAGAAGTAGTTCATTCTAGGTGACCTTCTTCAACATGCTTTCTTTGGCCCAGAATTATATTGAGGAGAGACATCCACATTAGGCATTATTTATTCTCAGAACAACAAAATGTCTCATTCTCTGCATATAACATATCTTAGGTGAACATTCTGTCACTGGAAATGTGAGGTATCATCAGGTTTCTGCTATTTTGGACAAAGTGGACAAGGGCATCCTTACCCATGACCCCCACCCCTTCTGTACAGCTATAAGACTTTCTCTTATATCTGGGACGGAAGTTTCTGGGTGATATAGCATCCACGGTTCATTTTTAATATTGTCTCTTTTTTTCTCCTTAGAAGTGTCTGCTTCTACCACCCGTCCATAAGAGTTCTTGTTACTCATCTCGAACACTAGCATCATGTGTGCTGGTCTTCATCCTGTTAGTCACTCTACAATGCCTACAGAGACAAAGACTCTTGACCATTCACTGATGAGGTAAGGCCCAAGTCCCACTTACTGACCTGCCGGAGGCCAGGGTGGGAGACAAAGGTGGCCTTGAAAGAAAGCAGTAGGCTGAGAGGCAGCCTTTCCTCACCTGACCTGAAGATCTGAGTTCAAATGCTAGCTCATCTTCCAGGGCCCCATGGCTTCTCAGGCTGTTCGCACAGGCTGTGGGCTGGGCCCCTCTCTGGGTTTGGAGGGATAAGAAATGGAGGGGAGGTTAGGAGGAGCCTGGAGCACAGGCTGGGTTGGGGGGAGTTTCAGGTAAATGCCTGTTAGTTGGGGACCGAAGAGGTAGCTAACAGCCACTTTCAGAGAAGATTTGCTTTGTTTCTTTAAGTCCCAGATTCCCTAAAGGCAAACGCAGAATGGAACAGGAAGCTCAGGGGCCTGATCAGCGAAGTTCTCACAGGGCCCAGGGGCAGTACAACTTGCCTAACATATCCAGAATCTACCTATCCTCCTCCAGAGGGAGTCCCTCCAACCAGGGCCGCCAGGAGAAGGGAGTGCAGACAGCCACCAGGCAGGTGGTTGCATCAGACCCCCAGTGGCCCACGTTTGGATCCATACTGGCTTGACCTCCTCCACCTCTTCTTCCAGGGGCAAAGGCACAGCAACCTCAGGGTGCAGGGAACCTGAGACAACTGGTCTCCAGGGAAGCTCAGCGAGAGAAAGCTTGACGCTTCCTGAAACAAGCGTGGCAGCCCAAAGCTTTGCGTCCCAGGGCGGGACCTTCTGGGAAAAGGATTTGCCTGGCTTGATCTGGCCTTAGTTCCAGCTCTGACCCTTGGGCTCTGAGGGCACAGTGGGGGAGGGTGATAGCCCGCAGCTGGCTTCTTAGGGTTGCCAAAGTTTGGCTTAGGGAGAAGCCCCTACTGGGGCTTGTGCCCTTAGAGGGTGCATATAAGGGCCTTTGCTCTATCTCAGATATGTGGAGGACTAGGTGGGTCTGAGGCTTCTCTTTCTGGTTTTAGATTTGATCCCTGGGAGAAAACACAGGTCTTGGGAGAATCCGTCTGAGCTCTCACACATGGATCCTAGCTCTCTGCCAAGGCATCTCAGGAAGACAGAGGCTCTCTAGGACTGGATTGCACCAATGGGAAAGGAGTTGGGGAGCTGAGCTTTGGGTGTCATTGGTTGGGATTTGAAATCCAGAAAGATGGATTTCAGTATCTGGGAATGGGCTCTAGGATAAAGAATTAAGCTTGAGTCTGGGCGGGCATCGCTGCCAGAAAAGACTCCATCTGCCTTTCTTTAAACCCTCTCCTTCAGTCCAAAGGCCGAACTGAAGCCCGAGAGGAAATCGGGGCATGGGCCACGGAGCCACGGGGATGGTGGGGCACAGAAAGAAAAAGTAAGCCCAGGCATTGTGGATTTGGAGATGATCCGGGATACACTGAAGTCCCCCAAGCCCCAGGCACCTGGCACCCACCGCTTCGGCCACCTCAGCCACAATTCTTTCTTCTCCCGGCACCATCCCCATCCTCAACGTGTGACCCACATCCAAGGTAGGGCCAGGACTACAAGGTCCAGTTGGGGGTGATGGGAGGGGTGGGAGGTCCATAGGGGGTGTCACCAACTGGCTTCAAGATCCAAGGAGTGTGCACTCCAGCCTGTTTCCAGGTAGGGCTCAGAGAACATGGGACCTAACCAGGGTCCCAAGGCTGCTAAGTAACTATACCAAGATTGACTTGGGGAACAGAAGGAAAGTACTGGCTCCAAGGTAATCAGGGTACCTTAAAGGATTTCCTTCTCTGCCTGATTCTCCTACTTTATAAATTATATAAAGGATTAATAGTGTGTCCCAGAGTGCTGCTCTGCCTTCTGAGTCAAGCCATGCCCCTGAGCCATTGATCCACTTAATGCAGCAGGTGCTTATGGAGAGTGAACAATTGCTGAGGGGCTGGAGCTCACATCCAGCAGGCAAGGGTGTGATAGGCCAGGTGTCTAGGTTACAGAGGGAGAATGACTGGCATTTCAGACAATGATCATACAAGACCTGGCCAGTAACGTGATGTCTGAACAAGGGCAGAAACCATGGAGATACCAGGGGCAAGGATGTTCCAGGCAGAGGATCAGCAAATAGAAAGGCCTGGATGTGTTGAAGGGACACCAAAGAAGCTCATGATGGCTGGAGAAGAGTGACAAAAGGGAGACCGGATTTGATGTCAGATCAGGCCCCTGGTGTCACCATTATGCCACCTCAGCAAGTCATTGAAAAGTTGAGACTACAGAAGTGATAAATTATGATAAATTTGAACATGATCACCCTGGCCTCTGTCTTGCTGGGGGCTGTTATTGAAACAGTGGAAGAGCCCATGGTTCTAGTCCAGAGTCACACTGAACATAAAGCCCAGGGGACCTGATGACTGATTGGAAGCAGATCATGGTGGCACAGGGATGTCATGGCTCACTCTGAGTCACTAGAGAACCACAGTGCCCTGACTGAGATGAGGAAGCTACCAATGGCCAACAAGGAGAGGGAGGAGCCAGAGAGCCAGTCCTGGGAGTGGGAGAGGTGGAATGCAAGCTAGTCCTTAGATGATAGGAGGAGGGACAGACATGACAGGTATTTGAGGAAAGATGGATGCTTCTGGGCAGATCATGGAGACATAAGAAGAATTTGGGGACTGTGCCCTGGGTCCCCAGGATTAAGAGCCTGAGAGGATTGAAAGAAATCAGCAGGGGAGACAAAGAGAGACCAGTAAGCTAGGAGAGCCAACAGAGTAAGAGTCATGGAACAAAAAAGACTGTTTTCAGGAAGGAGACAGCAGACATGTTGAGTTCCTAATGAGATGAATTCTGAATGACTACACCAAAATTGCCCATACTCTGGGTGGAAGGGGTCTTCACGTGGGAACTGCTTCTACCACCTCCAGGATGACAGACAGTAGAAAGTTCTGTCCAGAGTGTCCAGTTCAGTCTCTCCTCCTGTGACTCTAGCCAGGCGCCTCTCATCTTGGACCCTTTAAGCCAGCAGCCACTGCATGCTTACACCTGCCCTCTCATAGGATGCCAGAAGGACCTGAAGACTAAGGTTCTAAGGCTCTATAGAGGAGACTAGGGTTTTGTCTCATCTCTGCTCAACTTACTGGTGACTCGGAGCAGTCTTTTTCCCACTCATCCTCAGTGCCTGTGGACAAGGTGGTTGCTGCTCTAGGAGGTTGTAGAAGCCTCTTCAGCTCCAGTGATCCATGGGCTGCTGCTTCCTAGAACAAAAGGACCCAGAGTTCTCCCTGCCTACCCTGCCTCCTTTTCTGGGATTCACCACTTCTCTGCCTTACAGACTCTGCTCCTCCACAGATCTCACCGGGAAACCTGTCTGCTTTGTCAAGGACGATTTCTCTCTGGTTCCCTTGTCTCGGTCTGCACTCTTATCCAGCTATCTGATGGGGATGCCCGCATTCCCTGCCCCCATTGGAGACCCACAGTCCAATCGGAATCCCCAGCTTTCTACTGGTGGGTACTGGGACCAACACCTTTCTATAGGGCTCATACCAGTCACCAATGACTGCATGTGAGATACCTGAGGGAAAAAGTACCATGTCTTACATTGTGGGTCCCCTAGGCTGTCCCAGGGCAGCTTCATCTCTGAATTACTTCCTACCTTGTCCCCAGGTTCTAGCACTTAGAAAAGTGCCCTTGCTTGGATTCAAGCAGATTTTTGGCAAGTCACATGACTGACAGCTACACAGGAATACAGTTGTAATAGTGACTTGCACCTGCCCATCAGACCATGAGCCATGATGCTGGGTGGCTAATAGAGGCCTCTGCCCTGGGAAGTCCTGTCTCTCTGCTACTGGGGTATGGGAGAATCAAGCTAGTGAGGGGAAGCCAGAATAGGGCAGAAAGTTTTGACTGGCTAGCTGGCTGTGAATGACTGGGGGAGTTGGGGAACGATCTTACAAACAGACTCCTTATCTCCTGAATCGCAATCCTGGCCCCAGATACCTAAGGGAAAGTGATCAAACCACATCCAACGAGACACAAGCCCATCTCCCAGAAATGCCATAGGCAGAACAGCAGCACCCCCAGCATCAATGCCATTCCTAATCTTTCTCCCTCCAAGACACCCTACCTGCTTTCCCCCAAGACTCGGGCAGGATGACATGAAAGGAGAAGGGCATTTCTTTTGACCTAGAGCCTTCCCTGCCCTCCCAACCCTGGTGCCACAGGGAGGGTGAGCAAGACCCCCAGGACCTTGTGCTCTCCTCCCAGAGACCTGGAAGAGGGAGTTGAAGGATCTGGCTTCCCGGGTGACTCTGTTCACCAAGGAGACTGAGCAGAAAAACAAAGAGGTAGGTGCAAAAACAAAGGAGTCTTGGGCAACCAGAGTGGAGAACTATCCCTGGCTTCTCATTCCTCCTTTCACTCTTCAGTGCTCTGAGTGACTTAGCTAAGTTAGGTAGTTATGGATTTCTTAGCTTTCAAAGGAGGAGAAGTGGTTCATACCTGTAATCCCAGCTTCTCACAAGGTAGAGATAGGTAAAAATGAAGTAGATTCAAGGTCAGGCTAGACAAAAAAAATTTTAGTAACAACCCATCTCAACAAATAAGCCAGCTATAATGGTAATGTACTCTTTAATCCCAGCTATATGGGAAGCTATAGGTACGAGAAGTAAAGACGGGCCCAGGTAAAAACTCGAGGTCCTATCTAAAAATAGCTAACCAAAATATGGTAGAGCACCTGCCTAGCAAGCAAGACGCTCTAAGTTCAAACTCCGGTTCAGAAAGAGAGAGGGAAGTAAGGTTACAACTACAAGTCTTAACTGGAATTGAAGAGCAGGAAGCCTGACTTCTCAGAGAAAAGAAAGAATGTCAAACGGTGAGGGATAGACATGGGGGCAGCAGTAGGAATAAAATGTTAGACAGTGGGCCCTTGGCACAGGAAAATGTTTTTAGATCTCTGATAGCAAGCTGATTGCCGATGGCTCATGCTTGTCATCCTAGTTACTCAGGAAGCTGAGATCTAGAGAGTTGAGGTTTGAAGTCAGCCTGCGCAGAAAAATAGATGAGACTCCATCTCCAAAATAATTGACAAGAAGCTAGGCTGGAGGCAGGGGTCAAGTGGTAGAGTTCCAGCCAGAGAAAGCAAGCTAAGCAAATTCAAGGCCCTGAGTTCAAACTCCAGTTTGATCAATCAATCAATCTATCTATCAATCAATCTATCTATCTATCTTTGTTTGTTTGTTTGTTGTTGTTTTTTGGGTCCAGTTGTGGGGCCTGAACTCTGGGCCTGGGTGCTGTCCCTCAGCTCTTCAGCTCAAGGCTAACGCTCTACCACTTGAGCCACAGCACCACTTCTGGCTTTTTTCTTTTTTGCTTATGTGGTACTGAGGAATCGAACCCAGGGCCTCAGGCATGCAAGGCAAGCGACCTACCACTGAGCCACCTTCACAGCCCTCTATCTTTGTTTTTTTGGTCGGTCATGGGGCCTGAACTCTGGACCTGGGCACTGTCCCTCAGCTCTTCAGCTCAAGGCTAGCACTCTACCACTTGAGCCACAGCACC